GATCTTGTCATGAGCTAAATTCAGCTCAGTATGAGCCTCACGAGATGAATTCTCAATAGCTAGAGCCCGCTTCAAGTGCTGCCTGGACTGGTAAGTCAAGGCGTGCACGGCGGAGTTCACCTGCCAAGAGTATAGATTAGTACCAGCAAAGCCACAAATACAAAAATCAAAGTAAAACAAGACTTACCACCATGCAGTGGGTAGCTGCCCAAGCCCCAAGTTGAGCAGGTGTTAGTTCAGCCCAGCTCGTGACTTCCTCAGAATACACAGCTCCTTTGCTCTTTTGGAGGCTGCATTGCGGAGTCAGGATACTCCAAACTGCTTCTCCGCTCCCCGAAGAAGCAACAATCATCGCAGGGGTAGGCCCCAAAGATGTCTCAGGCACACAAAGTGGGACCTTCTCTGACTCCAAGTCAATCTCCAGAGGCGCGCTAGAGGGCTGTTCGGGCTTAGGGATGGCGGGCTCTGGAGACTCAGTACGAGCTCTTTTAGTAGCTCGCTTCTTCTTCTTCCCTTTCATCCGCCCAAGAAGCTTGTCCGYGTTGAGATTCATGGGAGCTGCGATAGAACTTGGCGTTAGCAACATCGACAAGAATAGAATACCAGCTATTAAAATAAGATATCAATTTTAAACCAAGACGACCTGCTAGGACTCAAGCCGGCCTGCACGAGCTTATCTTCGGCAAGGTAATCCTTACAATGGAAGCCAAGCTCTGCCTAAGAATATAGCGTCTCCCTTGTCTTCAGGTCCAACCTAACACCGGAGTCCTGAATGGCAGCCCTCCAATGGGTAGGGAAAGGCCACCCTACAGGATTACAAACTATGAAATAACTTTGTTTTCTAGGCCGGGATCCTATTGGGTAGTTCGTGCAAAAGTTTATAGCCCGGGCGAGGAGACAGATAATAGGTCTGCCTATGCTCGAGAAGGACACAAGAGTTCTTCTTGACAGACAAGATAGAAGAAAAAATATCGAGGTCGAGAGGTAGATAGTACTCGTAAAAAAGAGAGATGGTCCCTACTACATTTCGGATTGAGTTCGGGTGTAATTGGTCTATAGTGATGTTGAAGAAATTCAGGACCTCTATGATCAAAGGGTGCAAAGGTAAGCGAAGACTAGCCACGAGCTGCTCTTCGAAAATTACAATCTCATTATGATCGTGTTCCCAAGGGAAGTTACTTACGGGGAGACTATATGTGTACTCATCCGGGAGGTGGTATTGACCTATTAAAGCCCTAAGTCTATCCACAGTCAACGTCGAGGGGCCGAACCTGTCCGGCGCCTGACCTCGATGAGAAGTGGACGCCGGGTTATCTGTGGCCTCTTGTGCCTCCCAGGATGACTCCACCTCGGGAGGACTGACCTGAGCCGAGGTACCTTCCTCGGGCTTATCTAAAAGACTATCAAAACTAAACTGCGCCACAACTACGGACTGAACTAAATTGAAAAAGAAGCTAGGGGAGACTCACCCAAAAAAACAACCGAACTGAGAAAATGGAAAACTGGGAGACCCGAGCTAAAGAGTCTAAGCACGACCTCTAAGCGAAGGCTAGTGAACTTATGGCGAGGAAAAATGTCTCGGGTCCCCCCTATTTATAGTTGCTATGTCCGAGAATCAACGGTCAAGATCAAGGCGATCCAATGACTCTCAAGAAAACCAGTTGCACGACCCCCGAGGTTGAAATTAGTTTAGCGCATTTTTTGGCATTCACGGAGTTTATAGGTCGCATGACGTCCGCACGTAAATGGTACGCAATCCGAGTTATCGATGATTGAGCCGAGCAGCGAACTAGTCCGACCGACGAACTATCCGACTAGACGGCCTAGACTTCAAGCCAAATCCATCCSTCATGTCGTGAACTCTCCACACCAGGTCAGGACCCCTGGCTCGAGGAGTGGGGGGCAATTGGAGGGTGACTTGGCCCGACCTTGTAATAAGAGGACACGTGGACGTGACTCGACATGGGTGACAACTCGGCATAGCCAGCTCGCTACAAAGTAATACTCCACTACCCCGAGCTAAGGGCACTTCGGTACCAGGTCGCAACATCAGTACATAATTCAGTTCGGGGTATACAACCCTTAGCTCGAGAACATCAGTTCGAGGTAGAAACCAGCTTGGGTATATCGATCTGCCCTCAACATAATCCCGAAAGTCACTCCAACAGTTCCTGAATTCTACGGGATCACTTCTCGCAACAACTAAGCATTATCTCCCCGTCCGATTCGGGCAGAAGTGATTAGCCTTATCAACTAATAACGTTATCTCCACATAACACAGAAACAGATTATATCATGGCACAGAACTACTCCGTAAAGCCCGCGAGGACTCCATTATATAAAGGCCTCCCTCCCGGGGCCCAAGGTATGTACATTTTACTGCTTACTAGCTTTCTTGCTCTTTAATTACTCTCAGCTCTAACGTACTGACTTAAGCATCGGAGTGACCTCGTCGGGTGAGCACCCCCTAGTTCTCTGATTCTCTGTGCAGATTCTCCACATCCGTCGTCTACTGGAAGTTAAGTCACTACCAGCTAGGAGCAGCCAGATTGCGCAGTATTAGAGAGAGATTTAAAGAGAAAGCATGGTAGGCGAATGGAAGAAGGGGAGGGTATGTGACATGTACAACCTTGCTTTATATATATAGTACTAGCAGAGATCCAAGTGATGAACGGGATTTATCAAGGGAAAGTGAAACAACAAAAAAATGTAACTATTATAAGGAAGGAATGCAATGTTGTTCAAAATAATCAATCTTTGTTTTAGTAATTTGTTACAAAAATAATTTAGTAATTTAGTAATTTGGATTAATTATATTATTATTATTAACAAAAATAATAAATTATTGCTATTTACTAAATAATATGATAATTTTTTCATATTATCTATTTGTATATTATTTTATTATAGTCATTAATCTAAGACAAGTTCAAGGTTTAAGACTTTGGGTTGGGCTTGGGTTGATCCTCAACTTGACCCAACCAGCCCAAGTTGTCCATGTAACATCTGTAATTGGAATGGACCAAATCGAGTATACCTACACATACATTATTAATATTGAAACCGAAGGAGTTATGGGGATGGGCTACCCCCATTGAGTAGCCCAATGAACCAAAAAAAATATGTCATGCATATATGTAGTATAATTATGTATAAATATAGATATTATGTATAATTTATATAAAGTTTATAGTTGATAAATTTAATATTTTATATTTATTATGCATATACACTTTAAAAATAATTAGTTTTTTGAACTTTTTTAATCTTTTGGTCATTTTCAACACAACAAGATGGTTGCGGATTAGATCCAGTTCTGATCCAAAATACGATATAATAATCGGATGTGGATGTGGATCTACAGATTTCATAACCAAATGGGGATGCAATTGGATCCGATCTAAAACATCCCCATTGCCCGCGTTATGTGTGTTTAGTGCAGATTCGAGCTAGACCTAGCTTAAAAGAAAATAGCTACTTAATCTTGGAAATTTGTAGGTCTAACTGAGTTGGGCTAAGTTATAAATGGTCATCCCTAATAAAAGGATTCTTATGACATTTCTAATTGGGCCATTATTGGTTTTATTATTTTAATTAATTTTTATGTGGAATGCAAATAGTTTAGTTACTTTTAAATACAATTTAAATGTATTCTAATTTTGAATTTATGAACTACTAATTTTTATTAATTTTTTAATATTTTTATTAATTTTGGTTATTAAATTTCAAATTTCAATTTTTTGATAATTAACCAATTAATTAGAATTTGAATATAAAACAATGGAATTTGGATGAGTAAAATTCTCTCTCTCTCTCTCTAAAATACAATAGTCTAAGGGCCTGTTCATTTGCTCTGAAGTCTGACATCTGAACATCTAAAAAGTGTAATAATTACATTAAGAGGTTTATTGGTATTGGTGAACTTTTCTTTCTTCTAAACTTTGAATACAGAGAATGTTATTCTGAATTCTGAAAACTATTAAATATCTATTTTGAGGTTCTTTCTACTTTAATTTTGTATAACGCGGCCCATGTATATCACACAGGTCCTGACTAGTAACATATAAAATGAAAGAAAACAAATGCTAAATTTGTTATTTGACAATGTTTGGTTGCATATAAGATGACTGTAAAGAAAACCTTTTTGAGAAAGGAAGTATTATTTTTTTGTTTGCTATTTTCTTAAAGAGTTTTTTTAATATTTATTTTTGCAAGTCTTAAAGGGGTTCCTGTTAATTCATATCTTGCAACACTATATTTCTCAACTACTTGGATTTGCTCTCTATCTCAAGAGAAACACCAAAGGAAATTAAGTTAGTGCTTTGTATTCCCATTGATTATCATTCTTTAAGGAAATCTTTCATTTAACTTAAATGATGAAGAAAAGATACTCCAAATAATGGGTACATGGTACCAAAGAAATCTAGGGTCTTAGGTCCTTTAGGATAGTTTTGATAAGGTTTCAAATTTTGGAAAATTTGGTTATCATGGGCTCTTGTTTGTGATGACTTTTTTTTGGGGGTTTTGAAACTTGGGATGTTTTTTCTATAGATTTTCCTGGCTTATTTAATATCGTAAGATATTTTGTATTTATTTCCTACTTTTAATATTATAACCCAACTTTTGACAAAAAGTGGCTAAGCAATTGATGAGGGCATAAATCACAAAGGTTGAACCACCACATGAATGCTGATGTGGACGACACATGGAGAATGGTGCAGTTCGGTAAATGGCTAATATGGAAGAGCCGTATAGAGATAGGACAAAATACGCTATCGAAAGAAGGGGTGGGATTTAGGTCCTAGAATTGTCACTCAAACTGTTGGAATACCAACAATTGGTTGGATTAATTTATGATTGGTTATTTCAGTAATATGGATAGATAGATTGATAGACGGAGAAAAAAAATCCTTGCATTTACCAATGAAAATTCTTTCCTACAAAAGCAAGAATAATGACAATTTCCTGAAGAAACATCCAACCAATGTGAAGGACGAATCTGAGGTATAGAACTCTCCATAGACAGATAAATCCTTATTATAAGAATAAAACCAATGATTCAATATTCTCAACGTAAAGCAAGTCTGCCTGCCAGAAACCCTTTGTTCCCGAGTATTCAAATCCCTAATGCGCTAAAATGTGCATACAAAACCAGTGGAGTATGGTTCCATTTCAGTTCATTGAACCAAAAAAGGCACCCATGTACACCACTCCGTCATTGTATTACTACAAAGAGTACATAAATCCTAAACAATACAAATAAGCCTGCCTTTGACACATGCCTCTAAAGGTGAATGACTCGGGTGTTTTCTCTCAATCGACCCAATAACTGTCTCTCAATCGACCCAATAACTGTTTTCTCCAAATAACCAGCTTGAATAATAAAAGCCAGCCACAATCACGAGTCGATTGCCCTTGAACTTCTAAATTCCAATTCCTGAAATGTTGCATCACAGAATCACCTGCTCTAGCCAAGCAAATCTCTAAACAAGTTGGGGTTCTGAATCGATGGGGTCACACCAAGCTGCCTCGCAAGTGAATCCTTTTCCAAAGAATCTTGAGGGTTTGGCCCCTTCTTCAATGATGCTGAAAGTGCAACCTTAGATCCTCCATGGTCAGCTGCACTAGACGAGCTAGATACAAGGTTCATGGAATCCAAATTAGTTGGTACCAAATTTGAAATACTGCTGCTCACACCGCTCAAGGATGAATCCCCATAAAGTGCCATAAGATCAGGGGGCTGAGTGACACTAACAGTTCCAGAATTTGTCGATGAAGAAACATCTGGTGGTCCTAGAAGTCCTTCCAATTGTTTAAATGGATCAATGGAAGGRATGGTATCCCCAACAGTTGGCTCACCCAAATCAAGCAAGTCTGGTGGAGGGGTTTGAACAGGAGCTGTCTTCTGCGGAGCAAGTTCAGTAGTTGCGGCTGATGCAGTTGCCACCTGTGGCTTCTCTGATGCAGGATTGCCAAGTCTTGAAGTCTTGTGGCTAGTAGATTGTGGTTTTTTATCGGGTTTTGATGAGGATCCACCAAATAAAGAAGCAGCAAGTTTTTGCTTTTCAGGAGAAATTTCAGCCTGTGGCCTCTTTGAGTCATAAGATACATCACGTGAGTGAGAGCTTAGTGTTGCCTGTCCAAGTTGGTTGACCCCATTTGTTGTTTTCAAATTAGAGCTTGATGTGGATGGTACAGGAGTGGAGTAAGTTGGTTTACCCCATTTCTTTTGAACCCCTTCAAGTCGAAGCTTGAGTTCTGTTGCTCCTGTATCAGTGACTGTTGACAGTTTTGCAGCTTGGTTGGTTTCTTTAGGATAAGTTGGCTCAGATATTGGAACAAGTTCTGTGGATGAAACAGCTGGAGCTGGAGCTGGAGTTCTCAATGTTATAGAAGGTTTTGGAAGTTCATATGCCTCAAACCTTAGACCATGGGCAGAAGACTCATGTTGGTCTTGGTTCCTAAAGTTACTGATGTTCAGAATCCCAGACCGCTCATTCTCAGGAATGTAGGGCTGAGCTCCTTTTTCCAAGGACTGCTGAACATAACTGTTAAGGAATGATAGGCTTTTATCTACCTGCAGGAAGAAGTTGAACGTGTTAGGCAGGGAACTGGCATGATATTGTTCAGAGGAGAAATTTGAAAAGGAATAGAAATTAACAAAGCACAAAAATAAACTAGACGAAACTGAAATTCAGATCTATGATTATAATTTGCACAAAAACACATACAAAATCAGTTTAACTACTATTAATGTCTTAATAAATTTTTAAAACAAGTGTTTAATGAAACAACAGATTCTCTATAGAACTATTAATTTCTTTGTTCTATAAAAAGCCTTTATGATTGTTCAAATCTAATGTGTCAAATCAAAACAACCCAATAGTCTCAATTATGTATTTTACAGCTAAAATCATCATGGCACCAGCAAGCAATAATTAACTAAGATGGAAACTATACCTTACAGACCTAACAGTTAGGAAAATGGTGCTGCACAGGCTCTCTGCAGGAAGAGARGAGAAAAAGAAAAAAAAAATGCATAGTCTATCACCATGTCTTTTAATCTTTACAACATAATATTTTCTTCAAAAGTCAAGAAGGTTTAATACTAGCCGAGAACTTTGTCAATCTCTCTTTCCACATAAGTGACCTTGTGTGGTTGGCTTCTTTCCGTTTTTATTTATTTACTTTTTTAGGCGGTGTATGTGGTTCCATGCAACTGAAACAGGTTAACCTTTTTTTATTAAGATCATAGTTGTCAAGGTGACTCTTAGGTGACTAGGCAGTTTCCAGAGGTCGCCTTGCCCGGATGACTGAAGATTTTAATATAAGGCGCTTGTCCAGAGTTTTAAGCAGTCGTCTAGGCAACTAGGCAGGTGCCTAAATACAAGTCAGGCACCTAGTGCAATAAGTCCTGGTGATTTTTGGATCCAATTGATTGTTTTATCTTTTAAGATACACCCTCTTACATAGTAAATTATAATTTTATAATACAAATAAAATACATAACTTAAATCCCATTTTTCTTTTGCTGTAGGTTTTTTCTTGCATTCAACTGAACATTGAACGAGAAGGAAGAAGGAGAAAAATTCCAGGTATGTTATGTTTATTTTTTTTACTCATCTCAACTTCAGTCCGGTCCAGACTCAGACCCCAGAATCACAGATGGGTTTTGTTTTTTTCCTTCTCTTCAGATGAACTTATATTCTTCTCAGCTTCACTCTGCCCAGATGCAGACCATTTTTCTTCTACTTCTCAGTTTCAAACTTTCCAGTCAACCCAACCTTCTTTTTCTTCTCTTCAAATTAAAAACTGACCCCCTTTGTTTTCCTCTATATTTTTTTCTTAGTTTCAATCTGCCCAGGCCCCAGACCATGTTCTTCTTCTTTTTAATCAGTTTCTTCTCCTTTGAACAAAAAACAGGGGCTCTTCCCCCTTTCTTCTCCTTTGAACAAATATGAATTTAACATTTTTTGTTTAATTTCTATTTGTATACTGATTGCTTGCGTAGAAATATTTGCATAATTCTTGCATAATTCCTATTTACGAATAAAGCTCAGTTTGGAAGGAGTACAAATACAAATATGTAGAGTGCAAAACCTTGTATTTTGTATTATTTTTCATGTTTTTGCACAGTACATATTTGTATTTGTACTCTTTCCAAACTGAGCCTAATGGATTTCCAATATATTAGGATTTAGGAAATATGAATAACTGAATAAGATTTAGTTAAAACTTAATTTTTATAGTCATATCGAATTATTGATTAGATTAATTGTTTTCTAATTTAGCATTTATCTATTTGTTTTTGTTAATTTAGTGTCATTGCTCATTTGCTCATACTCGTTATTTAATTTGTGTAATACTAATGCATATTACCTAGGCTAATTCCTAAATATTTGATTTCCAATAAATTAGGGTCTAGGGAATAGGGATAGGATTTAGTTAATAATTATATTGATTAGAATAGATTAATTATTTTCTAGTTTTACATTTTTTATTTGTTTCTTAATCTATTTTCTTTGATGATTGGCTTTATTTTCAATAGAGAATGACAAATGAAGAGGGAAATGTCAGGCGTAAAGCTCAATCGAAGGAGCCTACATGGCAATATGCATTTTGGTATGTAGTAAAGTTTTTAAAGGAAGAATAAAATGGATAAAACAATATTTGATTGGGGGATATGGGAATGTTACTAAATACCCCAAAAGTACTACAAGTACTGCCAAGGCCCAAGGAGATGCAAGAATGCAAAGGAATAAAAGGAAGAAACCGTTAGATGATTTCACAATTGAAGATAATTGTGGGGCATGAGAGCAAATTGATCTGAAAGGGAATTCAACAATCAAAGTAATCAATCTATAGAAGTGGGTGTCTCCATTTCAAGTGGTACGAGCACATCAGCTTTAGAAGTTGTAAAAGTGAGGCATAAAGGACAACTAGTACAACAAGCATAGAAAGCCACTTGAATGAATGAAGGAAAAAAAAAATAAAATGAATAGGTGGAAAAATGGTTTTATCAAGCCAGGATTCCTTTCAATACAGTGAAATTTAAAAGTTTTAAAGTTATGGTTGAAGCAATTGTAGAATTTGGGTCTAGATACAAGCCTCCAAGTTACCATGAGTTGTGAGAGTAACTCTTGAAATGGGAGGTTGAAAAAACAAAGAAAATGTACAAAGAGTATGAAGCTTCTTGGAAGATTTATGGTTGTACCATCATATTTGATGAATGGACGAATAAAAGGCAAAGATCTTTGATCAATTTTTTTTAATCAGTTGATGCATCAAAAGTCCATAATGCAACTTTTTTATTTAAGTTGATTGATAAGTTATTTGAGAAAATAGGAGAGGAACATGTGGTGCAAGTGATTATTGATGACCACTCTACTTATATTGCTATAGGTGATCTTTTAAGAATGAAGAGGATGAATTTATTTTGGACTCCTTATGCTGCTAATTGTTTAGACCACATCATGGAAGACATAGGAGAATTGAGCTCTACAAAAAAGTTGTATTGCTAGGGCGACAGATAACCGCCTTTATATATAGGCATCCTCTTCTTACACAAACAAGGAAAAAACAAATGGGAGAGATTTTGTATGATGTGCGATTACAAAGTTTACCACCTCTTTTCTTACTTTATAAAGTTTGTATACTTTTATGGAGTCCTTGCATTTATTTGTTGGTGATGTGTGGAACAAGAGTAAATGGCTACAAATTAGATGGACCAAGAGCATCAAGCACTATGTTTGATGTTGGATTTTGAAAAAATGTAAGAGTTGCTCTTTTGTTTGCCCAACACCCCAACCAATTGTAGAGGTTTTACAGTTGGTTAATGGTGATGAAAAACCTGCCATGGGTTACTTTTATTATGCAATGGAATGAGCAAGGGAGAAAATAAAAGAAAATTTTAGTGGGAAAGAAAGGGAGTATAAGCTCATTTTAGACATTTTTGACAAGCTTGGACTTATATGAAGCAACATCCATTGCACCTTGCTGGAGCTTTCTAGATTGTATTGAGAGAATGGTCAGTGATATTGAAATTCATGACAAGATCGCACATCAATTGGAAGAGTATATAAACATGCTCGTGGTGCTTCCTCTAGTGAATTGACAATTAGGCAACGTGAAACGAAGCAACCAAGTAATATAAGCTCTCCTCTCTTGAAACTTATATTTATTTATAAATATTTTTTTTCTTCTTATTTAAAATTTATAGTCTTATTTCATTTTTTTCACTGTTTTTAGTTGATTGGTGGCATAGCTATGACCATTGCACCCCATACCTTAGGCATATTGCACTATGCATCATAGTTTTCAAGGCGCCAAGATGACGACAGGGGGGGCGCCTTGTCACCTTAGTCACCTAGGCGATGGATTTTTTTCAAGTAAAACCATATATCCTAGGGTAGTTCCCTAGGTGCCATAAGCATCTTCCCTTAATAATTATTCATAATTTTCATAAGAGAAGTATAAATTTCATGTTTAAGTCTAGAAAATCAATATTTCGTGAGAAGAAAAGGAACAAGGGAAAGAAAGTTCAAAAAATATAGGGGCTAAACCCCTACTTTTGTTATAGGAAAGAAAAGAAAAGGTGGAAGAAGAAGATGTGTTGATTAGACTAAATTTCAAGTTCTTCCCTTGCTTATTGGTTTAGGTTTTGAAATTTTTGAGGGTTCAATCAAGGATCAAAATTTCGATATGATACACCCCGTATTGGGTGTATGGTAATGTATCTTTGGGGTCCTGATATGTTTACAGGTGTTTTCGGGGACCCATTTTTTTAAATAATGTTTACATTATAATTTTAATGTCAAAAAATAAAAAATATAAAAGTATTTTATAACCCAGTGTACAAAACTGCTTGGCAACTGGGCGAGGCGAGCCTCCAAGGGCACCTTGTCGCCTTGACAACTATGTTATGCATATTTGGTCTTACATGCACTTCTTCCACTTGTGAGCTTAATTGGAGCACTTTTGAGCATGCAAGTAATTGGTGGTTTTGTGATAAAATAAATTATCGAAGTTAAAATATTTTATTTTTATAATTTTTCCTATTTTGCTTGTTCAATACAATCAACGTCTTTGAAAGAGGTCCATAACAAGATGTGCAAACTCAAGGAAATTTAACCCTTATTTGCTTGATGACATTGATGAAATTAGTAATGGTTAATTAGGAAAGAACCCTCAAATGACTTGGTTTATGAAGGGTGTGATCTTACATGGATTGAAGTTGATGAAGCATTAAGGGCATCCAAAATCCTTGAATGGTCAAATAGGCCAAAGAGAAGTGGACATGGACGTGGAAGTGCAGGTG